CCTCTGGGTTGGGTCCCTTTATATACCTGGCCAGTGCTGATGACCCCCAGGCACATGAACATTCTTGTAAATCCTCTGGCCAATTAAGAGTTAGTGTTGACTAATGGTATTTTTGTCCCCCTCCATACATATCATGCACATACATCACAGGTATTCCTTTGTTTTCTTTTGTGGTTTATTGTTACTGCATCTACACTCTGGATTCAATTATGATGATTTGGAATATTTCTAAGTCATCAAAGAGGAAAGAATTTGTTTTCTAAACCAGATAGGATCTAACCACTCTCTCCTTGGCTCTGACATCATCATTTTGCCTTCAAAGACTCCCTGGGTTACCACCCAAGCTGTGACTTACCTTATTAGTACACACATGACAGCAGTAGATTAATAGTGCCACTGTAAACAGACCAATGCTTCCCAGAGAACTCCCAGCATGCTTCTCTGGCAGATGTGTGGTTTTACATGTGATGAAGGACCACATGGGCATTTCCAGCCTGTCACACTGGTTTGGTCACTCTCTCTTGAGGAGGATCAGGGTTTTCCAGTCCTGGCTGTTGTTTTCTTATTAACCTGACATGCCCTGCTTGTCCTTAGAACCTGAACTCAACTTCCACCTTGATCATAAAACCTGCTTCAAAGATTCCTTGCGATTGTTATCTTTGGAATTTATTTAGAATTAGTCATTGCCTGTGTAGAATCCAGGAAAGGATCGTGGACCATCTATAGGCCGTCCCTTTCCTCATTTTTGGTTGTAGGGTTGGCTGAGGTCACACAATGAAGTTGCAGTGTGAGTTCTGAGCCCTGAGTCCTCTTTTGTTTATTGATGTAAATAGTTTCTGTTCTGAGGTTCATGCTTATTGTTCCATAAGCCATGACTTTATCCAAGTAAGTAGGAAGTTTCACTGTATGTTATGTAGGGTTGATAACTTATCCCAACGGTGGGATGGGGAATCTTTTTGATCACAGAAATAGATAACTTCTGGGCAAGGACCAAGACTGGAAGGTTCTCTCTGCAGGTCATCAAAGGACAACTTTTTTTGTCGGTAGTCTTGTTCTTGATTTTAGCCTGATTTAGTAAATGGTGGGAAATGAGGACAAACAGCTTTCAAAACCTTCCTCAAGAGCCAGCAAGATGGGTCAGCAGATAAATGTGCCAACCTCGAAGCCTGAGGAGCAACGTTCCAGACTCCCAGGGCCCACAGATGTGAGTCCTGATTCACCTTGACTAAAGGTCAGAGAGTTTGAGCTTATTCTTGCTCTAAGTTGTTAACAACAGGTGTGGCTACAAATAAGACATCCTCACCTAGGGTGTGGTTAGTTAGTATTTTGAGTATAGAGGTGGATCCACTCCACCTTGACCAAAGGTCAGAGAATTCAGATCTATTCCTGCTCCTTCAAGGAGATTGGCAGGAGGTTCCAGGGAGTGACTGCCTGCAGGATACCTGATGTATTCCTTATATCATGTCAGCGAAATCTGTTGCCTCCTGCCTCCCCTTTTGAAGCGAAGTATATAAACATGTGGGAAATAAATGCTGGCAATTTCAGTATTCATTGAATTTCCCTCCTGGTGCTGTTTTGGGTTTCCGTTTTTTATATTTCTCTCATATCTCTGTTCTTTTTGCTTAATAATTCTAATCTTCATACTCCTACCCTGTAACATGTGAACACCATCAAGGCTATCACCCCAACATGTGGCTTACAACACCAGACCTAGGGCCCACATGGAAAGAGTGACCCAACTCTGACAGTTATCTTCTGACTTTCATACGTGCCCTGGAACACACACACACACACACACACACACACACACACACACACACACACACGAGGGGCAAGCATGCACATTGCAAGTGTTAAAAAATAAAAACAATCTGACTCAAATGCTCTTTAAATGTCATTTATCCTGAAATTACTCTTAGGTTTTAATGGTGAGGAATTTTGTTGACGTCATGAGGAAATTAGCTCTATTGCAAAGGAGAGATATTACAGAAACGTCACTCTGAGTTTTCTCAAATTCATTATGTCTGCTTTTCCTTGTGCAATGATTTCCTCTCAGTTCCTTGGCACTACTTAATGAACTGGTAGAAGGAAACTAGTCCCCAGTTTGTTTACAAATAACCTTAATATTTATGAACAGCTTCTGGACATTTTGCTAAGTCTTTCTTAGTCATTTGAATTGATGATTCACATCATAGGACTGTAGGGAATTCCATTTCCTTTTGTAACAGGTTTTTACTAAAAAGCATCTACTCTAAGAACAACTTACAACAGTCACCTTCTTGAACGTACTCCATTTGCTGGTATTATGTTTCAGCTGCTGTTTTCCTGCCTACCACATGAGAGCTTTTAAGTTACCGTTTATTGAATGCTCGATCTGTTCCATGGATTGAAACAGTTATTTTAATAACTGATTGCCGACCATGTTAATCAATGGAGGTGGCTGTTATTACCTCCACCCTAAAGAGGAGTAACCTGAAGCTTAGAGAAGGTAACTCATTTGTTCAAGGTCACACAGCTGTTTACTACTTGAGTGTGGATATGAAGCCAGATATATCTCAGTGGTTAATGTTTAAACAAAGATGCTTCCAAATGAATGGAACCACCCTACAACTTAACATTAGTGAGTTGGCTTTACACTGGACTTATAAGCTTAGTCTTATCTATTAACCTTTAAATTTGTGATTTCAAAATTTATTAAAACTCAAAATACAACCAGCCCTGGCATGTATTCTCGGCTATTACTTAATTTTTATTGCCTGTGGAAAACCATCTTCCTGTCTTTGTATACTGACAAGCATGCTAAATTAGTTTATTATTCTAAGGATTGAGCTAGTTACATTCAACAGTGCTGTATAACAAGCAGCCATGAACTCTCAACTGTAATAATAAATGATTATTTCCTAGTTTGGATGATTTAAAACTGGGAATGACTTCTGGTCACAGGTTAGTGGGGAGTTTCGGAACTAGGGGGGAATATTTCAGAAATGAAATTGTGTATTTTCTAGATACATAATTTTATAGTGATTGCACCAGGGTATAGATGACACAGTTTTACATTTCAGAAGTATTTGTTGTTTGACAGGCAGTGTGTCACATGAATTTAATCCCAGCTCTCGAGAGGCAGAGACTGGCAGATCTCTGTGAGTTACAGGTCAGCCTGGTCTACAGAGTGTGTTCCAGGACAGGACAGCTGGGGCTACACAGAGAAACCCTGTCTCAGGAAAAAAAAAAAAAAAACCAAACCAAACCAAACCAACCAAATGTACAAAAACCAAAAACAAAACCCATCACCATCACCAAAAACTAACCAAACAAAAAAGTCTTTGTTGATTATTTGAAGTTAAAATTTAACGAGTTGTTTTGTATTTTAGGTGCCAGCCATACCTAGCAGAGAGAAACCCACAGACACACCTGTCAAGTCTTTGGATGGGAGACGAAATAGGGAAGAGTTAATGCCAATGACGGGTAATCTGATGAAGCTGAGAATCAGCTGCTTCAGTGCTCTCTGCCTGATGCCTAGGCAATGCCTTTTAGGAAGTGGGATTATGGCCTTTGTGTAAGTAATGTCTTCTCTCTTGTTCCCTCTTGTTCCAGACAGTCAAGAATTATCAGTTACTAAGAGAAGTTCACACTGTCTATATCCTGTGAGTCAAAAGACAAAAGAAAACACAAAATTTTAGGAAGAGCTCAGTTTATGAAAGTTAGTGGAAAAAAAACAAACCCTGTGTTTAGGTGAAGATCCAAGAGCTAATGTGGGTTTCAAATCCAACTTCAAATGGTTGTAATGTCAGGCTCAGGTCAGGGAGCTCCTAGCAAACTGGAAACCTTCTGGAGAAAGACTACTGGCCAGCCATTTCCTCACTCAACGTGTCATGATTTAACAGTCTGGAGGTTTTGATCCCTAGAGGAGTTTCATACTTCTTGACTGTAGAACTTCCCTTATTGGGTTACTTTTTATTAACAACGAATTGCTGATCTCAGTTATGTCTAAATTGTAGGGGTTCCCTCTGGTTAGTGTGTTTGGTGTAACAGTGATGGACATAAAGTCACCCCTTTATCTACAGGTTACATAGGTGGCAGTGAAAATGGTAGAGCCCAAGGCTATGGCTTGGACACTCCGTAGTGAAACCCCCCCCCCCTTTTTGAGAGAGAGAAAGGGGGCCACCACTAACCCATAGTAGCAGCTGAGCTCTGGCGGGAGTCATCTGTCATCTCTGTCACCTGAGTCATCTCAGACAAACAGATCATCTCCATTTTCTGTCCTTGCCAGCATGCCAGCTCTGCCAAATCCCTTACCCGCCAGACTCCTTTTAGTTTCTCTTAGAAAATTTCAAGTTTTCATTTGTGGATCAAGGAAGCAGAGACGATAGTGAAATTTTTATGCTTATTCATGATTATTTTTTCATCATACCACATCCTGAGTGTGTGGGACCATCAAGACTCTAACTTACAAGAAGTTTCCACCTCCCATGACCAGCAGGTCTCAGGTGCTCAGATCCCTAGGCTGTCTGCAGCATTTGCTTTTCCCGTCTCTTTTCTCTTAAATACGAAAAGTGTCTGATACCTGTGATCTTTCCTCAACAAACAACCTTGGCCACAACTTTCTGACTTTAACTCATATAAGTGAGGATCCAACTCATCCCCACGAAGAGTTGCTATTACTTAATCAAATAAGCAAGACAGTAAGGAAAGGACTCATGGGGCTGGCCTCAGTTTAGCCTAGATTTAGTCTGCCTGAGTACCAGCTGGCCAGTGGGGTCTCATCTGTGGTGGTTTAACAATTTGAGCAACAGAACATGGTAGAAGTGGTGTTCTATGAGGTATGGGACTTGAGTCTCAGATGTTGACATTTTATCTTCTCTCTCTGGAACAGTTGCAGCACGCTACAAAGAAGCTCGGGAAAGTCCATGAGGAGAAGAAAGGACAAACACCCAGCTGACAAATGATTTGCCTGTGTGTCCCTCAAGGGCCCACATGTGAAAAAGAAAAAAGAAAGAAAAAAGCCTTTAAAAGGCTCATGAGTTAGGACTTGGTCCCCAGGTACCATGCTACTAAAGGGTAATTGGACCGTGAGGAGGGTAACTGCATCACAGCTGTCTTAGCCAAAGTTTCTACTGCTGTGCAGAGACAGCATGGCCACAGAAACTCTTATAAAGAAAACCATTTGATTGGGGCTGGCCTCCATACAGCTCAGAGGTTTAGTCCATTATGTCACCATGGAAGGAAGCAGGACAACAGGTAGGCAGACACGGTGCTGGGAAAGAAGCCGAGGGTTCGATATCTGGATCATCAGGCAGCAGGAAGAGAATGACACTGGGCCTGGCTTGAGTTTTTGAAACTTCATAGCCCCTCATCAGTGACACTTTCTTCAGCAAGATCATACTTTCTAATAGTGCCACTCCCTCTGAACCTATGAGAACCATTTTTCAAACCACCACACTGGGTTAACGCACTGATGAGCTTCATGGCTCAAGGAGCTATGAGAACTGGGCCTGGTTGGATCGCTGTACACCACCACACATGGCTGTGACCTAGTTTTAAAACTCCTCAAAAAGAGGAAATGAGTTTAGGAATTCCAGTCTTGAAGGGAACGTGTCTGTTAGAATGTTGAGAGTGAAAATGCCTGAGATACAAAGACCCCAAGAGACTGCACTCTGAAACATGGCTCACTATCTAGATGAGCCATGTGTCCATAACAATGCAACAAAATATGGATTTCTTCACAGCAGGACTCAATGAGTAATGCAACTCTTTTTGTGATTATAATTCTGAAATGCTGCTAAAAGAAGTAAGTCGAGGACATTACTTTTATATTACTTAATCAATTACTTGAGACAGGGCCTTGCTGTGTAGTGCTGGGTGGCCTAACACTCATTATGTAGCCCAGCTGGCTTAAATGTATTATGATTCTTCTGTCTCAGCTTTCCTGAGTACTGGAATTACAGATATTTACCACCATACCTAGATGATTAAACTCTTAAAAAAATTTTTCTTGATTTCATTTCCTTTTTTTCCCCTTAGAAATTTGCTTTTACATTCTTCTACAAAATGGAACTGATGGGATTAAATGTATAATGTATTAAGGGTATAAATATTTTAATCAAAAACAAGGATGTAAGTTAAAATTTTCCTAATTTTGAATATTAGGACCCACACATATAGACACATTGTCTTAGTGAGAACTTTTTATTACTGTGACGAAACACCATGATAGCAGTAATTCTTATGAACAAAAGCATTTAATTGGGTTGGCTGGCTTACAGTTTCAGAGGTCCAAGTCCATAACCATCATGACAGTGAGCATGGTGGTGTGCAGGTAGTTGTGGCGTTGGAGTAAGAGCTGAGAGTCCTACATCTTGCAGGCAAAGGGAACTTAACTGAGCGTGAGGGCCCACAGATGTGAGCCTGTTCCACCTTTATTATAGGTCAGAGAGTTTGAGCTTCATTTTGCCCTTTCAAAGTTGTTGACAACAGGTGTGGCTACAAACAAGAGATCCCAACCTAGGGTGTGGTTAATTAGTATTTTGACTATAGATGTGAATCCGCTCCACCTGAACCAAAGGTCGAAGAATTCAAGTCTATTCCTTATATCAAGTTAATGAAGTCTGTTGCCTCCCCCTCCCCTTTTGGAGTGAAGTATATAAACGTGTGGAAAATAAATGTTGGCGGTTTGGTATTCATTGAATTTCCCTCCCAGCGCTATTCTGTTCCCGTCTCTTATTTCTCTCATATCTCTCTTCCTTTTGCTTAATAATTCTAATCTTCATGCTTTTACCCTGAAACATATGAATTTCGTTGAGACTAGTCCCCGACAACTGAGACTTTGGGTGGCATCTTGAGCATAGGAAACCTCAGAATCTGTCGCTGCTGTGACAGACTTCCTCCAACAAGGCCATAATCACTCCAAAAAGCCACACCTCCTCATAGTGCCACTCCCTATGAGATTATGGGAGCCAATTACATTCAAACTGCCACACACATGAATGCAAATACACACATACCATTTTCATGCCTGCATCTCACATAGCACTTTATAAGAATAATTTAAATATGATTTAAATTTCCAGTGTCTTTATGTGAAATATGAATCATCAATTATTCTGTGAAGATTTGTTTACATTTTAATTATATGTTTCTCTGTGCGGGTACATACATGTGAGTATTAGTGCCTGTGGAGACCAGAGGCACCAGATCCTCTGGAGCTAGAGTTAAAAGTAGTTGCAAACTATGTGTCTGTGTGTGTGTGTGTGTGTGCATGTGCGTGCGCGTGTGCGTGTGCTAGGAACCAAACTCAGATCCTCTGGAAGAGCAGTAGATATTCTTAACCATGCAGCTATTTCTCCAGTCCCTTCAGTTAATTTTTAAAGATTTATTTTTATTTGAAATTGTATGTATGTTTGTGTGTCTATGTGTATGTGTGAAGGGGGTGTATGTGCACAAGAGTGCAGTTTCCTAAAGAGACCAAAGAAGGGCAGACAGTCCCTGGAGCTGGAGATGCAGGTGACTGTACACCACTCAACGTGGGTATTGGGAACCAAACTCAGGTCCTTTGCAAGAGCAGAAATTGCTTTTAATATTCCAGACCTAAGTCCTCAATCGATTACAATGATTATGGAAGACACAGAGGACAGTACAAATGAATTCTTATATGTATGAAAGTTTATTAGAAAGATGTGAGATCAAAGGACATAAAAATTCATTTTAGGGGAAAAATGCAGAATATATCCAAACCCTCAGGTCTGGGATTTAAAGTCAATGCTAAGATAAGAGCTGTAACAAAAGTCTAATTTACTAGGAATAATAATTTAGAGCTATAAAGTTAATCAATTTGGAGAATTATGATAAACTCTTAGCCCATGAAGCAGAAACCAATTTCTATACTGTTCTAATATTGGAAGGAAATGATAGCAAAAGAGAAAATGTAAAGTGAGCCAGAATGTGCTGTCCTATGCTGGGGAGGACCATGGGCTCTGGAATTGTGCAGTCCATCCTATTAATTGATGTTAAACAGATTCCATGTGTCCTAAAGACTCACATGTAAGAGTGGTCTAGAGCCTGCGGAGGGAGACGAGTCTAGAGCAGGGAGGGACCTCAGCAGCAGCAAGGGGTGGCACAGCACATGGGGCGGGGACAGGTGGAGATGACACAGGTGGGGCGGTAGCAAGTACTCTGGCAGCAGACCTGACCACAGACTGGACGCACACAGCAGCAGGGGCGGCAGCAGGGGCGGCAGCAGGGCTGGCAGCAAGGACTGCAGCAGCTGGAACTACCACAGGAGGGCTGGCAGCAGCTGGAGATGCAGCAGCTGGGGCGGCAGCAGCTGGGACGGCAGCAGCTGGGCCTGCAGCAGCTGGACACACAGCAGCTGGGGCGGCAGCAGCTGGGGCGGCAGCAGCTAGACACACAGCAGCTGGGGCGGCAGCAGCTAGACACACAGCAGCTGGGGCGGCAGCAGCTAGGGCGGCAGCAGCTGGGGCGGCAGCAGCTGGGTCTGCAACAGCTGGACACACAGCAGCTGGGGCGGCAGCAGCCTTGGCCACAGCCCTCCTCAGAGCAGACAGAACCACAACAGGAGTTGACCATGGTGTCAGAGGTGGAAGGTGGGTTTTCAAGAGGGTGAAGGTATTGGGTTTGGAAGTCTCCTTGCCCCACACCCCCTTTTATACCTGGCTGAACACCTCATATGACTACATCATCATTTCCTTGTTAGTACTTACCTTCTTGGGAAACTTAATCATTTAATTGCATAATTGTAATATTTCTAGTTAAATACTCCAAAAGCAAGAAAACAACACATCTTATTTTCCTGGTGGGCTCCCATGTTTGGAACTAAAATGCTCATTACATTTTTTTTTCCATAGTGGGTCACCTTTGACCTTTTTGCAAGTAACTTGTCACATGACTCTCTGGCATTTTGTTTTCTAAATGTGACACTTCCTCCTATCTGTACACTGTTCCTTGCAAATCAGGAAAATGTTTTTCTACAAATTCCAGGATGTCTTTTGCTATCAAGGAGTGTTCTATGTAGATGAGATTTGGAGGGGTGGTTAGAAGGGAAGACCCTTTAGGGGGAGACTGTCCCATGTCTCATGGGGACGATGGCGATAGTGTGTGTCCATTGGAGGATTAGGGAGATGTTCAGACCTGAGAAAGTTCTAAACTATCAAGTCTTATTTCAGCCTCTTAAGTTAAAGGGCTTGGCAATGGCTCAGCCACTTAGAAATAAGAGAAATTCAGAATTTTTTTCTTTTTGGTTTTTGGGTCTTTTTTGTTTTTGTATGTCTTCCTGGAGAATGATTAAGAGTGGGGAAATTTTATTCACCTTTTAATTATGTTACCGCACAGTGGGTTTTGTCACTCACAGAGGCAGCAAGAAAAGTTTGCAGAGTAGGCACTATGATTTTGTTATTTGTTATTTATTGTATGTGTGTGGGTACACACCCTCCATGTGGGTCCCAGGGATGGAACTCAGGTCATCTGGAGCGGCAGCACATGCCTTTATTTGCTGAGTCACCTTGCTGGTCTGATTATCTTTTTCATATATATAAAAAATATTTTGAGTTTCTAACTTTGGTGATATATATGCAAGAGTTTTTTTTGCTGGATATTCTAAGCATAGAGCAGGGAGACCCTCATGCCTTCCTGTAAGTGGCTGGATAAGACTCAGGCAGAGGAAGCCATTTAACATAAAATAAGGAATTTCAATGACCTTAATGGAATATCTAAAATCAAAACATGCAGTGCATGGATGTGTTCCATGTGCCCTCAGTGGGGGATAGTTTGTAAAATGTTACTATTGTATCAGACCTTGTGTGAGTCAAGCTGTATTTTTTGTTTTTGTTTTTAATGCAGTTCTGTGAAGTGCTGTGCACTCTTCTTTGGATGGAACAGCTTCACAAAGCACAGAGAGGCTAAAACTAAAAGGTACATCCAAGAGGAAGCACAAAGTAAGCTGACCATGCCTCTGAGTACCAAAGGAAGTCTTTGCTGGGCTTGTCTCGTCTTCTGGGAATGCTTCTCATCGGATCTGCAAACCCTTCCTCATCCACCAAGCCTCACTGGAGATGTTTCCTCCTGCATGGTGTCTGTCCTCATAAACGACCCTCTTCACCTGTCACGACTCCCTGAATCATGCTTCTAGCTTAGCTCAAAGAGGTTTGTGTGGAGTGGATGGGAGAGTAGGAGCAGGCCATTGAATACATTAGAAGAAAGACCCTAAAATAGAAAACAGTCCTCTTTGGGAAAAACTGCACCTATTTGTCTAACCTGTTATTTGGTCAAATGTTCATACTGCTTATGAGGCAGCATTTGCAGCGGTGTGTCACCGGATAAAAGGCTAGGCATAGAAAGCTGCTAAAAACTCGGTTAGCAAAGGCAGACTTGTTTGCAGATATTCGTTAGTACTATGTGTAATCCACAAGTCTATAGCTGTGGAGGGGGTAGGAAGAAGGCGATAAACGGTGACACCTATTCTCTTTGCCCCTAGACCTCCCAGTTTTTGTCTTACTGTTGGAAACATTAAAAATTAGCCAAAACCATCACTGAACATCCCTTGACTTTGCTCGAGTTTTACATCCTACAGGAGCCCAGACAAAGACTCCATCCCAGAAGGTACAAGAGAGGAATTGGGGAAAGTGGACAGGAGAGGAGAAAAACAATGCCGAACTTTTGTGTTAATGATGGGGTTATACTATAGGCTACGGGGGCAGGCCACGGGAAGTGTCTAAGCCTAGATGCATTAGGCTGCCATGCCTGTCTCCCCAGAATATCTAAGAGAACCAGCTGGGCATTAGTATTAACCATCAAGTCAGTATAATATGAATTTATGAAAACTGATTGATATCTTAGACATAAACAATAATCCTTCATAAACTGTATTTATCATTCTCACAAGAAGTACCAAAATATATAAATAAACATGCCAAGCCATACACTCAGCCTGGATGGCACTAAGTAAGACATTTCTTGAATTATATCAAATAGTTTAAAAATTAATAATAGCACCAATAATGTACCACCAAAGCTAGGTGTGTGAGTGAGTGCTGTTTATTCACTATGGGTATGAATGTGTTTAAGGAAACTATGAAGCACACCAATGGCTCTCCAATGAGATTAGCAATGACTCATGAAGGGGACTTTATTTTTGGTCACAACCTTTTGTGTTGTTTTAAATTTTAAAGACTGTGTGAGAAAGAGAGGTGGGGTTCCTATATAAACTCTGTAATTTTCTTCATGGAGGATGTACAATGCATTTCTGCCATTAAGCTTATATTCCTGTTTCTATCACTGAAAGATTGATTCATTTTAATAAATGGTTCCAGCTCTCAAGTCATGTATCATGAATGGGTTTTGGAACCAGGTGGGAATCTCCAGAAAGCACGTGCTGAGACAGAGAGTAGCATGCTGGCAGCATGGAGACACGCTGTGGGGATCAACAGTCAGGGAAGGGAAGGGGATTAGGTACTGGGAAAAACCAAACTGGAAGGCTGCCTCATGTGCAGGCTTAGTCTTCTGAGCAGTTCAGAAAATGGAATGGTATGTTTACAACCTCTAAACGGAGGAGTGGAATGTGGTTCTTTATCATGCCACCCTGGGAAAGGAGGGCAGGTTCAGGGAAGAGTCACCATCTCCAGCAACAGCAAGGGGCTTCCCCCAGCACTCATTTACATCACCTGCCTGTCTCAGAAGTGGTCCCCTATCCCGCTGATGAGTGACCCTTTGACAATCTGCCTTCATGAAGTACACATGTGGAGAAAGGTTTATCTCACCTAGCTCTGGAGTAGAACACACAATGACTTCACCAAGCCATGCATTGACTGTTCGTATCCCCCCAAAGAGACTGAAAGGTGGTGTGAATTGTGTCCAGTCTTCTCTAGTGATTTCTCCTGTTATAAAATCAGGGATGCTCCTTCATTTTAATTCCCCCTTCCCTCTAACAACGACAAAGTGATTAATTTACCTGAGACAAAGAAGACGATTTGGAGAAAACTAGGCAGTAGTTAATGCCATTCCGTTTCTGTTGGAGGTTTGACTAACATGCCCTGTTTACTTTTAAGTATAGTGAAAATACAACTCACACTTAGGCAGTCGTGTTGGCTAGACTTACAGGTAGACTCTGATGTTTCTGGGAGACATTCTCTCACAGCAAACTCCCAGGCCTCTGGCGCTAACCATCTTTCCATCCTTTCTTCCGCAACGTTCCCTGAGCCTTAGGTGAGGGAGTGTTTTATAGATCTGTCTATATATCAGGACTGGGCTCCCCAACTCTGCATACTGATTGGTTATGGTTTTCTGCAGTGGACTCAACAGGTTAGATCTAGGAATATATGCGTACAGTAACAACTGATGAAAAGAGAGGTAGCGGGTTTGAAGGAGAGTAGGGAGGGGTGTCTGGAAGGGTCTGGAATGGGAAATGCTGTGATTAAAATACAATCTCAGAAATAAACTAAATGAAGGAAAAATTACATTAACCTCAGAAGAATATGTAAAGTTTTTTCTCTTTTTGTATTTTTAAAATATTCTCTCCCTCCTTCTCTCTCTCCTTCCCTCCCGCCCTCCCCCCCCCCCTCCATGCATTTGCAGTTGCCACAGCCTGCATGCCCTCAGAGAACAACATGTGGGAGTCAGTTCTCTCCTTCCGCAATGTGAGCGCCAGATTTGGAACCCTGATCGTCAGGTTTGTTAATGAAGTGCCTTTATCTGCTGAACCATTTCTCAAGCCCCCTGTTTTATTTACATATTTTTAATAAATAAAGCAAAAATCACATTTAATTTTCAGTACCCATGGGATGGATGTTTATTTTTGTTACAGAGAAATAGCCAAGTATGACAATTTTTGCAAAGACTGTAAAAGACACTTTATTGGGCTTTAATGGCAGAAGGGTTAAAATGTGTGCTCCTACAAGTGCCAAGGATAATTTAAATTCCTCTAGCCTGATGGATAGATAAAAAGACAAGAGGAGACGTGTTGGGAGAGACCTGTTAGGTTATTGGGAGATTTTTGATAAATTCATTCTAAGAGGAAGAACTTTGGACAGAAGTCAGAATGAACACACAAAACAGCTACAAATAAGACTGATTTCTGGGACTCAGGAAACCAAGTACCTTGGACACTAGGTATTTCCTAGAAGGAAGGACTTCATTTGTAGAGAATGTGGAGATAAACGGTGCTTTCAGAGAGAAGATTTAGCAGCAAGGGGTGGCACAGCACATGGGGCGGGGGCAGGTGGAGATGACACAGGTGGGGCGGTAGCAAGTGCTCTGGCAGCAGACCTGACCGCAGACTGGACGCAGGCAGCAGCAGGGGCGGCAGCAGGGACTGCAGCATGGCTGGCAGCAGGGGCTGCAGCAGGGGCTGCAGCAGGGACTATAGCATGGCTGGCAGCATGGCTGGCAGCAGGGGCTGCAGCAGGGCTGGCAGCAGGGACTACAGCATGGCTGGCAGCATGGCTGGCAGCAGGGGCTGCAGCATGGCTGGCAGCAGGGGCGGCAGCAGGGCTGGCAGCAGCTAGAACCGCCACAGGAGGGTTGGCAGCAGCTGGAGATGCAGCAGCAGGGTCTGCAGCAGCTGGGGCGGCAGCAGGTGGTCCTGCAGCAGGTGGTTTGGCAGCAGCTGGGCTGGCAGCAGCCTTGGCCACAGCCCTCCTCAGAGCCACAACAGGAGCTGACCATGGTGTTGGGAAGTGGAGGTTCTGGGTGTGTTTACAAGGTGGTGAGAGTTCCTAGTTTGGTCTCTCCCCTTGCTATCTCTTGCTTTTATACCCTGCTGAGGGCTATTAATCACAGGGCTCTTGTTTATACTACAGAAGATAAGAGTTTTAGCCAATTAGTTGTGTTTATCTATAAATAGAAAAAACTGCTTCCTTTTCCTGTTGTATTCTATGCTAATTTGACAAAGCTAAGAGAACTGGATTTCTTTTTTCTTCCTTTGATACATCCCCTAAGTTAGACACAGTCCTTGACTTTGTCCCCTTGGGTTTAGAGGTAATTCTTTATTTCTAGCTTTATGAGTAGCATGTTCAGAACATACATTATGGTGACTATACCTCTGGCAGCAATGGGTTTGAAGCAGGTCTTATAGGATACTGGTGGAAAACCAGGATGGAATATTGGTATTTCAGGGGTATAAGGGAGATAGCTTGCAATCAGCACAGAGGGTGTATTTCCTACCAGTTAGGCAGGTGCGAGCAAACTTAGTGAAGGTCATATCAATCTCTTCTTATTTAATCTCCCCAAGGTGAAATAGCATTGCAATAGCAATTATTTTAGAATAGCAAAAGCAGGTTGACATGATGGGTCCCAAAACTGTTAAATTACTAGTGTCATGCTTTTCAGACTTGAGTGTTTTAAGGGCACATTTTGTTCAACTTTTTGATAAGTCAACAAACCCAATGAGTATGTGTGATAAAATCATATTAATACATTGTCTGCAAGTATAAAACTCCCAAAGAATAGATAAAAAATAATTTTAAAAGGTATGTCTTTTCCATATTCTGAGTTATTTTTTCTTTAACAGTGTATATTCAAGAAGTTTTGATTCGAGATAAAATAGAAGCAAAGGCATAAACTTTCTTCTACCTCCTACAAATCACGAAAGAAACAGGATAGATACATGGTAAAGAGCTTGTCAGTTATTCCCAAGGTTGTTGGACTACCCAATAAAATAACAATGAAGTTTTTAAATCTGTGCATTCCCAATGGACAGCGTGATAACCCTGCTAGTTAAAATCACCCTTTTGGCGGAGTGGAGGGGGGGGGGTTGGGGGGGGGGGGGGGGGCAAAGAGGCAAGCAGGAGGAGGGATGGTAAAGGGAATTGTGATTGGTATATAAAATAAATTAAAAATGTTTTAAAAATTAGTTGAATACCTACTATGAGCCAGGAATTTTTGGAGCTCCCTGTAATTGTTATCTTATTTACATTTCTCAAGGACTCTGTGAGGTGGGTGCAATTCTTATCCCTTACACGTGAGGTGACTGAGATTTGGAATGGACTAAAGAGACATAGCCAGTCTCTCGTAGAACATGAAGAATGATAATCCAGTGTCATTTTTTGTGACTAGGCTGTTGTTTTCATCTTTATCAAATTAGCAAACTCTTACTCATCCTTCAGTGTTCAGCCCAGCTCACTTCTGACCTCCTTCTTGACATCTACCACATTCAACTGAACCTTTCTTTCCCCATCACCTCAGTCCCAGGGTGTCACATCATGTCAGAACTGTTTTTTTCTGTCTCCCTTTGCCAAGGTAGAGCCTAAAAGGTTTTAGTTTTAAGAAAATGTCCCGCGTGCATTTAGTAGTACGGTGCCTAGTCATAAATGAGAGGTCAGTTGAGTGAATGTACAATTTATCAAAAACAAAGGCACTTGTCAATGACAGAGAAAAATCTATTTGGGTGGAGAAGAAAAGAAGAAGCATTCAGATGATGGACACAGGCTTGGATGGGCCTTTGTTTGGACTTGTGATGGACTCAATAACCTGCCAATCATGTGTGGAGATTGCAGAGGGAGATAATTCTTAATGAGTAGGATGGAGAGAATTTAAGGATTTTCTTGAACTTAGATATACTGAATGCCGTGTCTCCATTCAGTGGGAAGAAAGAGCAGCACCCAGGCCTTGCAAATATTTAGAATGCAGGAAGCAGGAAGCAGACTGAGATGGTGGTTGGATTAAAGGGCTATAATGTGAATGCCTGGCTAGGTTTGTAGGAATAAATGTAGGAAGAAGGAAAAACAGTGGTTTGGTAGATACTCCGGTGAAGTAAGCTAGAGTTAGTTACAAAGGCAGGGATACCCAAAGCCTCAAAATGCGAGAAGTTTCATATGCTTCTGTCTCATATATATGAACAAACACACTTTCGAAGTCAAAACCTTCCTGATAGTTTTAGCATTAAAAATGCACACTAGTAATCAGGATACATGTTATACAACTATAAAATTATCAAAGAACAAATTCAACAAGAATTTTAAAAAATACTGTATACTAAGCCATCATATATAACAAAAGTGTATGTGTGTGTGTGTGTGTGTGTGTGTGTGTGTGTGTGTGTGTGCAGAGAGAGAGAGAGAGAGAGAGAGAGAGAGAGAGAATATGCAAAGATCCTCCAAGATAGACTAGAAGAAATCCATGCCTTGTATTATAGTCCCAGGTGAGAAACCGTCTAGAAAAGTCAGAGTCCCTAGAAAAAAAAAACTTACTGTTGTTTATGTAAATCCAGATAAAGGCAAACTGTTTTCTATGTGTGCATGTTTGGGTTTTTCTGAGGGGGGGAAATAATATTTAAATTTATTTATTTTATTATTTTATTACTTAAAAAAATACCAATCCAAATTTCCACTCCCTCTTCTCCTCCCACTCCCCCACTCCCTCCACAGACCCTCGCACCCCACCCCCTCCAGTCCTAAGAGAGAGCAATGCACCCAGCCCTGTGGAAAGTCCAAGGCCCTCCACACTACATCTAGGTTGATCAAAGTATACGGGATTTGTCTCTACTGCATATACTGACTTCTTGGGATCCTATTCTCTTTGGATGTATGTTTGTAACTGTAGACAAATGCTACTCTCAGTCTTAAGCAGAGAAACTTCTCTTGGCAGCCAGTAGCTACAAAGACAGAGATGTACCGGGGCCCAAACTGCCGAGAATAAGTGACAACTGAACGCTCAGCTCTAAGTTCTCATACCACATCCTCCAAGGCTCAGGGAATGTCGCCAAAGAGTGCAGTGGAAGATAGGAAGGAAGGCTGTGGTCTGCCACCCTCTAAGCAAGGAACAGTCACTGCCAGTACCGACTCAGCATCTGTTCTTACCCGCTCTGATCCTGCACAAGACTGGCCCTGTCAGCTATCAGTCACGGATTAGGGCAGGGCTATAATCATTCCTGGTGAACTTTTGGCTACCGATAGATTCTGGGCAAGGTGTAGTCCTTGCTTTTCTTTCCTTCACTCACCGGTGAGTAGACCAGGCTCCAGTGAGCACCCAACTCAGTATTGCACGGATGGGTTCAGTTTATTTAGCTTAGTGAACCACAAAGCAAAAGGACATATGAGGGAGCAGTATTTGTAGTGACAGCGTTGTGGGGGGCGGGGCAGGAAAGCAGACCAGGCTCTCCTAGTAGCCTGACAGAAATCTAAGCCTTAGTTTACTAAAATGGGGCAAAGCTAAAAAGACAGTCCTCAGAAAAACCACAGCCTTCTGCTGGTTCAAAGGGGCACCCCAGGACCCCTTCTGCTGGCTCAGTAGGTCCCCAAAGGCCCTTGCTGGCTGAGCAAGTGTCCCCACCCCCAGCCTTAAAGGTAGCTTTTCCTACCCTGCTGCTGGAAGGTTTCTAACCACTAGGGCCTCCCACCAATCAGCACCCAGACAAATCTTTCCTCCACCAATCAACCCAGATTAATTCCTCTTCCCTGGAATTCCCTTAACTTTTTCAAAGGAGCTTGTGACCTTCTTTGGGGGTCGCCAAGTGCCACCCCAACGTTGGAATTAATAAAACGCTCTTGTTGTTCACTTGGCTGTTGGTCTTTGGGGGCTTCTGTCATACCTTCACAGTGTGAAGGAGGGGAACTGAAGGGGTATGAAAGAAATAAAAAAAAAAGGATGAGGGTGAGCATAATCAGAATGTATTATACCAACATATAAAATTGTCAAAGAACATATTTAATTAATGAAAATGTAAAAATATTAAAGGATAAATTAATTCAAGAATGACATAACTTCAGACACTCGATGTCTGTGATAAGTGGTGGATAATCGCGCTCCATTTCCACTTCCAGGACAGCTTGAAATGTCTTAAAAAGGCACAGGAGAGGTGAGCAGACTTGGTATTTGGTAAAGGTAACTAGTAATTCACTAATAGTTGAAAGATGAACATTAATAATTGTTTCTGATATTTTGTTTTATCTGTTTTGTTGCTTTTGGTCTTACTGTTTGTTTTTACTCTCTTTTTAATTTTTTTAAGAGAGAACACAAAGTTTGCTGGGAAGGGAGGCAAGGAGGATCTGGGGGAAGCAAGAGGATGGGAAAACATTATCGAAATATTTTGTATGAAAAAATGTTAAAAAATAGAGAAAAAGAGAAAGTAACAACATTAATATAATAATAATAACTTTGTTGATATTTGAGGTGGAAGAATTACCTCTGATTAAATAGGATTGATTATTTAAATGTAAAAATTAAGGAGATTAGAGAAAAGATCAGCTGTTTAAGGGGAAAAAGATGTTTCATACAAAGCTGCAGGACAATGGGAAGAAAAGCGTGGAAACATCGAGGCCTTGAAAATATTTGGAGGTAGGGGCATAAGTCATATGCTCTTTCATGTATAATAAAAGAAATAAAATAGAGATGATACTTTTTATCCATTAGTTTGTCAAAAACTCAAATTTTGACAATATGGAAATAAAGATGCTCATAATTTTCTTGTTATTTCCAATAAATAGCAGCATTATTCTTGGGCAAGCTATTCCAAATCTATAAAGTATATATAATCTGGAAGAAATATGTGAAAATGCTTTTATAAGATTATTTATATCAGTTCTACTCATAAGGGGAAATAAAGTAACAAAACAGAACTGGACACAGCCTGGCCATTCTTCTATAGGATGCAGAGGAAGAAATGACAGTCACTTTCTATAACGCAGCACTGTGCAGCCCCGAAAGTGAAGAGGGTGCCTCTCTGAGGGCTACTATGAAACAGTATATTGTTAGGCATCAGAAAAGTAAGTATAGCAAACATGCACCACATTGTGTGTCTAAACATCCCATGATGCAAATACATGTGGGCTGGAGAGCTATCTCAGATGTTAAGAGCACTGGTTGCTTTTCCAGAGGTCCTGGGTTTGTTCCTTAGCACCACATGATGGCTCACAACTATTGGTAACTCCAACTCCAGTGGGTCTGATGGTCTCCATTGGCACCAGGCACACGTGTGGTGCATGAACATACATACAGACAAAACACCTACACACATAAAATGAAATTTTAAAAATATGTCACACACATGCACATTTGCTTAAAATTTCAAATGAGAAAGTAGAGGAAGAGGAAGTGAAGACGTAAGAATAAAATATCCCCACCAAAAACCAAGATAGAGTAGCAGGAGTGGGCTTAATTCTTATCTGAGACAATTGAAAAGCCAAACAGAAAGGAATCACAGAGTTGTAGATATTGGCTGTCAGGTAGGGCAGGAGACTGGGCTATTGGTGTGTGACAAAGAGAGGAGGTCGGGAAGAGAAGGAAAGGATCTTGTGTTCTCTTTCAAGACTAGCCATCCCATTATCTTTAAACGTCTTTCAACAATAGCAGCAACAACAACAAAAAGACTATTTCCGCTCCACAGGGCTCAGGGACATTCGGGGACCTAAGGTCTTCAGTTGCACCACCCAGATGCAACCACTCCACATCACGATGTTAGGGAATCTGCCTTGGTGTGGCAGAACCGTCAAGACTGAGAGAAGAAGCATCCTGGGGCTTGGTTTCTTTAAGTCATAGATTCATCGTGAGCTTCGTCTTCCTCTGTTTGCAGACGAGAACTTACAGATTGACACAGCCCCTCATCGCTCACGTCCGTCCTCTGACTGCACGCTTAGCTTAGCACTTTCAGCTTTCATTTTTCTATTTTTAGAAAATCAATTGCCCTCCGTTAGAGACACCAACTGTGCTAGCTTTGCAGTTACTATGAGATGTTTGCATGTGCATAATATCAGAAGATGCAGACCCATAGAATATGGGTCTTTCTAAAATGAATTTTTGATTTTTATCCACGGGCTTTTCAATATTGTCTAAAAACAAAGTAGACTGTTGATAAAAAAAGACAAATATAGTTTAAAATTTTTTTATTTTCACCAATAAAGCCTTTCCATTCACCCTACAGGTATGGCCAAAACACAAGTTCTTCAGGATTAAGAAGAAATCTTAGAGACTTATCAAATCCCACTGGATTTTCTATATGGGGTAGTAGTGGTTTATTTTGACACAGTGATCTAGCACAGAAAAACCAGAGGAGTAAGAATGACCAAAGTGTATCTTCATTGAGCAATTAAGAGACTATAAAGATCATCAACATAGAAATATTGAAGTCAGCCTGTGAACCTTTGAGCTTTGTGACCTGAATCTAGGAATTAAGAGAAATCTAGGAAGGATTGGTCAGGTCAGTTCAACAACTGGTGAGGTACAAGCAAGTCCACACATAGATGGGAAGGGGAGGGCCACATGAGGGATTTGGATTGAAGTTAGAATAGCTGTTGTTGGGTCCAATAAAACACAGAAATAGGATTCAACAAAATAATATTGAACCCATTCTGTGCATCCTTGTGGCCAGTGACGGGGACAGAGGTGAAATAGAAGCTGGATCCATGGATGGAGGCTCAGCAGCAGCAAGGGGTGGCACAGCACATGGGGCGGGGGCAGGTGGAGATGACACAGGTGGGGCGGTAGCAAGTGCTCTGGCAGCAGACCTGACCACAGACTGGACGCAGGCAGCAGCAGGGGCGGCAGCAGGGGCGGCAGCAGGGCTGGCAGCAAGGACTGCAGCAGCTGGAACCACCACAGGAGGGCTGGCAGCAGCTGGAGATGCAGCAGCTGGGGCGGCAGCAGCTGGGCTGGCAGCAAGAGGGTCTGCAGCAGCTGGGACGACAGCAGGTGGGTCTGCAGCAGCTGGACACACAGCAGCTGGGACGGCAGCAGCTGGGCCTGCAGCAGCTGGACACACAGCAGCTGGGGCGGCAGCAGCTGGACACACAGCAGCTGGGGCGGCAGCAGCTGGGCTGGCAGCAGCCTTGGCCACAGCCCTCCTCAGAGCAGACAGAGCCACAGCAGGAGTTGACCATGGTGTTAGAGGTGGAGGTTCTGGGTGAGTTTCTGAGAAAGTGAGTTTTGAGAATTTGAAGGTCTCCTGGTTGATGTGCCCTTTTATACTTTGCTCAGCAACTGGTGTCACCATGAGCAAAGCCCCTTTCCTTGTTTTTCTTACTAGGGCATTAATCAGTGTTATTAAGGCATAATTATGTTTGCAAGGTTAAATATTCCAGCATGTAGAAAAGGCATCAGTTTCTTTTTCTGCATTGTTGTGATTCATTGAACTGGGGCATGTGAGATGGCATTTGTGCTTCTGTTTTGGCCTGTGCACCTTCTAAACTGGGGCTAGCACATGGTGTATGTGTCACTCTGGGCCTGCCTGATAATATTTCTGGAATGGCTCACAAGATGTTGCCTCTCTTTATGTGGATATGCATAAGCCATTGCCTGGTAGAGCACTGGTAAAGAGAGAGCCAGGGGAAAGATTCGTGACTGTGTTCATAGCTCATTGTAAAGCTTGTATTTGAATGGTTAGCTCTATATGAGTGCTTCTCAATGTCAAAGACCCATTTAAGGGGTCAAACTGATCCCCTAGGACTCCTCTCTACGTATGGTATATGAAATGTGAATGGGTTTTATTCATCGTCTGATAACTCAGCATACCTAGTAGATTCTGATTTCTATAAAAAAGAGTCCCATGTGAAGCAACCTTCCCCGACACTCTTTCAATAATTATGGGTTTGTGATACTGCTTGGATAATGAGGGCATAGAAGGCTTTGCTGTTTGTCCTATAAACTCTAAAGTATGCTATGTTAAAAGGGAAATTATGAAACAAATTGAAAGTTTTGAAGACCAGGATTCAAATCAAGAATTAAACATCTCATATACTTTTCAATAAAAACCAAGATCACAGAAATCATCGCTGTTAGTGTTGGCCATACTCCAGATCACCTAATCATGCTTTGTGATTATTCTAGTGAGTTTACTTTTCAAAGAACTCACAAGGCACATCGTCACTACAGCTCCTGCAGAAGTGAGTTCAAGTTGTTAGAGACTTTGGTAGTCCCCAAGGCAGAAATATTAACTTCTACACCTTTTATTGTCCTGTTTCTTCTTCTTAGAATGAGAAAAAAAGTGGGAAGTAGACTTGAAAGCATTGGCACAGGGAACCACTTCCTAAATAGAACCCCAACAGCACAGACAATGAGAGAAACAATTAATGAATGGGTCCCCCTGAAACTGAAAATCTTCTGTAAAGCAAAGGACATGGTCAACAAGACAAAGCAAAAGTCTACAGAATGGGAAAAGATCTTCACTAACCCCACATCAGACACAGGTCTGATCTCCAAAATACACAAAGAACTCAAGAAATTGTTCACCAAAAGAACACATAATCCAATAAAAAAAAATGGAGTACAGACCTAAACTCTCAACAGAGGAATCTAAAATGGCTGAAAGATACTTAAGAAAATATTCAACATCCTTAGTCATCAGAGAAATGCAAATCAAAACAACTCTGAGATTCCATCTTATACCTGTAAGAATGGCCAAGATCAAAAACACTGATGACAACTTATGCTGGAGAGGTTGTGGGAAAAAGGGAACACTTCTGCATTGCTGGTGGGAATGCAAGCTGGTACTGCCCCTTTGGATGTCAGTGTGGTGATTTTTCAGAAAATTAGGAAACAACCTTCCTCAAGACCCAGTAATACTACTTTTGGGTATATATCCAAAGGATGCTCAATCATGCCACAAGGACATGTGCTCAACTATGTTCATAGCAACTTTGTTTGTCATAGCTAGAACCTGAAAACAACCTAAATGCTCCTCGACCAAAGAATGGATATGGAAAATGTGATACATTTACACAATGGAGTACTACACAGCAGAAAAAAGTAACGACATCTTGAATTTTGTAGGAAAATGGATGGAGCTAGAAAACATAATTTTGAGTGAGATAATTCAGACACAAAAAGACAATTATCACTCATAGGTGGTTTTTAAACATAAAGCAAAGAAAGCCAGCCTACAAACCACAATCCCAGAGAATTTAGACAACAATGAGGACACTAAGAGAGACTGACACAGATATAATCTACATGGGAAGTAGAAAAAGATAAGATCTCCTGAGTAAATTGGGAGCATGGGGACCTTGGGGGAGGATTGAAGGGGAGGGGAGAAGCAGGAAGGGGAGCAGAGAAAATGTAGAGCTCAATAAAAATAAATAAAAAAGAATGTACCTTCTTCTGCTTCTTCCCAAAAAGTTCTTTTACTTCAAGTCAATGGACCACCCCAACATCCTTCTTTTGAGTATTTTCTTTGGCATTATTTTATTAGTTTATGGAAATTTCATCTGCTTCTTTTACTTTCTTTTTTACTGGTAGGATTCCCGCTCAAACCCGAACGACTATAATCTGAATGTGTTCAGTTGTCTCCTCCCAGACTATAAACTCCAAAAGTGAGCATTTACAGCTACATATTACCATATCATTCTCATGTTTGGTGATGGATGATCTTCGTGGCCAACTTGAGGGGCTTTAGCATCTCCATGGAAACTCATATCTGGATGTGTCAAAGAGAGTGTTTCCAGAAAACTTAGCCAAAGCAAGGAAGACCCACCCTGAACGTTAGACTGTGGTCCCGGTCCTGTACAGAGTGAAGGAATAAAGGGAACAGAGAGCCGACAGTCATCTTTCTCTGCTTCCTGACCGCAGATTCGATGTGACCAGCTACTCCACACCCTCCCTGCAGGTCTGTCCCATCATAATGGATCATATCCCCTCAAGTGTAAGCAAAGCAAGCCCTTCTTCCTTATGTTTCCTTTCCCAGGTATCTGATCATGAAAATAATGAATATACTTGGATTTGACTACACATTCCACACTTGCTTCTCACACTCCTAAAAATTACTTTAAAAATTCAATTGCTTTATAACTATGTAAATTATTTTTGGGTTCCAAAATAACTTTTACAAAGTGAGACATGTCCAAGGAAGTCTTGCTTTTGTCTTTCTTCACTGTATGCATTCTCTCTCTCCTCTGTGAAGAGAAGTTGCTTTTGATTGACACATGCTGTGTGTACATATTTGTGAGGTACAGTGTAGTTTCTTGGCTCATGTGCATGTTGGATAATGCTTGCCTCAGACTAGTTAGAATATCAACCAACTTAAGTGCTTATTATTTTTTAACTTGAAGGCTGTCTTCACATTATTATTTTAATACAAGTTCACATTTACTACAAGTTTTACTTAATAAATGTTCTTATACTGTGCACAGTTGGTTACAATTTGCTTTGGCTCACTTAATGTACCACAGCAATGGCAAATTACTGTTTATTCTATAGTAGTGGAATCAGATATTCCTCATTGAATTTCTGCTATCCAGTACTCAATTTTGTGGGCATAATATAGCTCATCTGGCTAGTCTTTTACTGAGAAATATACGGGCTATTTCAGGTTTTTTTTTTTGTTTTGCTTTGTTTTTGTTTTGTTTTCTTTCATCTGAAAGAAAAATTTCAGGGAGGGGGTATTTTACTTTATTTTGGTTTAGAGATCACTGCCAAGTACAAACTTTACCTTGCATATTAATTACTTCAAATTCAGTCAGTTTCCTGTGTGTTCTCTCTTTAGCCACACAGTATATTGACTTTTTCTCTGATTCTTGCATCTCCTAGAGCACCTCAACCTTCCTAATGCTGCAACCTTCAATAATAGCAGGTCCTCACGCTGTGCTGACCCCAGCCATAAAATTATTTCATTACTACTTCATAACTGTGATTTTTCTACTATTATGAATCATAATGTAAAAATTTGTGTTTTCCAGTGGTCTTAGGTGACCTCTGTAAGAGGGTCATTTAACCCCCCAAAGAGGTCACCACCCACAGGTTGAGAACCACTGTCCTAGAGTTTCTGAGTTGAGGTTTTGCTCTATACTTACATATTTGTGTCACCATCAGCACAATAATAATTGTCACATACATTCCTTTGGGTTATTCACTCATTGAATTTTTATCCTAAACAAATAGCTGAGGGCTTAGCTCCATTTTGTCCCTCATCCATGAGCCTGTGTTTCCGACTTCCTCTTCAAACTATAAGATTTCAGGTGCTCTCTAGAATGAAAAGATAGGATATGTCATTAATAAAAATATCCCTTTGAGGGGATAGTTCCCATTTTTCATCTAAAGTGGAACTCTAAAGCTCAATTTCATCCCTATGACTAAAATTATAAGCAAAAATACTATGTGCAAACTGAAGAGGACAAAGGTTTTATTTTTTGTTTTGTGTATGTGTGTGTATGTGTGTGTGTGTGTGTGTGTGTGTGTGTGTATGTGGTGTGCCTGTGCATGTGTTACGTATGTATGTGTGGTGTGAGTGTGTGTGGTATATGTCTGTGTATTCTGTAGGTGAAATGCACCTCCTGTGTGTGTGTGGTATATCTGTGGTGGTGGTGGTGGTGGTGGTGGGGTGTGTGTGTGTATTTGAGTAGGCCAGAGGTCAACCTTTGATGTCATTCAGCAGGGTCTGTCCATCTTAGTTTTTGAAACAGAGTCTCTCTCTGGGACCTAGGGTTCACCAACCAGGCTAACATTGCTAGTCCAGCAGCCCAAAGGACTCACTTGCTCTGCTGTCCCAGCACGGAATTTGTCAGCATGTGCCACCAGACTTGGCTTTTGACACAGATTCTGGTTATTGTATTCAGCCCTCATACTTGTGCAACAAGCGCTTTACTGACAGAACTGTCTTCCAACTCCCAAACTCACTTGTTTAAGAAGAGTAGACACCTAGGCTGGGTGGTGATTGCATAGCCAGTACTTTAATCCCAACACTTGGGAGACAGAAACAGGTTGATCTCTGAGTTCGAGTCCAGCCTGGCCTACAGAGCACTTTCCAGGATAGGTTACAAAGCTACACAGAGAAATCCTGTCTTGAAAAACCCAAAGATAAAATAAAAAATAAAGAGTAAAAAAGAAGAGGAGACACTATCTTAAAAGAGTACCAGTCATGTTGAATTTTTAATTGCAGAGATGGGAAGTTTCATTTGGTACAGAAATATATCAGATTATTCCAGCTACAAAGTCCTGTAGAGAAGATGTGAGGAGATGTGTTTTCCCAGTAGTTTTCTGGCTGAGTAAAATTTGTTTCCAGATAAAATCCAGATTCCAGGCATCATCCACTGTCTGGCTACTCACTGGACTCATGAAAATGAGTTCACAGCATCAACCCACATACACAAAAGATATGAACTCAGAGAGAGTAAAATGGATTCATGGCAAGGGTCTCAGCAGCAGCAAGGGGTGGCACAGCACATGGGGCGGGGGCAGGTGGAGATGACACAGGTGGGGCGGTAGCAAGTGCTCTGGCAGCAGACCTGACCACAGACTGGACGCACGCAGCAGCAGGGGCGGCAGCAGGGGCGGCAGCAGGGCTGGCAGCAGGGACTGCAGCAACTGGAACTACCACAGGAGGGCTGGCAGCAGCTGGAGATGCAGCAGCTGGGTCTGCAGCAGCTGGGACGACAGCAGGTGGGCTGGCAGCACACAGACTGGCAGCAGCTGGGCCTGCAGCAGCTGGGGCGGCAGCAGCTGGGGCGGCAGCAGGTGGGCTGGCAGCACACAGACTGGCAGCACTGGGGTCTGCAGCAGCTGGGCCTGCAGCAGCTGGACACACAGCAGGTGGGTCTGCAGCAGCTGGGACGGCAGCAGCTGGGCTGGCAGCAGCCTTGGCCACAGCCCTCCTCAGAGCAGACAGAGCCACAACAGGAGTTGACCATAGTGTCAGAGGTAGAGGTTCGGATTAGTAAGGGAGTGAGTGGTGTAGTGAGTCTGAAAATCCACCTGCTTCGTGCCCCCTTTTATATTCTGCTAAGGGTGTTGTGACCACAGCCTGGAGTATTTCCAAGTTGTTTTTCTTTTCCCTGAAGAAATAGGTATCATTAAGTCTGATAATTGATTTTCCTTTTAAAATACTTGAAGATAAAGAAAAAATAATATTTCCTTTTCCTTGTGCTTTAAGATTACCCACTCTGGTTTTCGTCATAGAATTGCCTTCCTCGTTTCCTTGTTTGTCCACCCTGCTTCTTGGATGGGTCCATCTTAAGATTCGGTCACTGTTTGTGCCTGTGGTTTGTGTATCACTCACGATGCTACTTAAACCAATGAGTCTCATGATGCTCACATCTCTTTTGAAGTCAAAGGGAAGCATAATGAGAGTAGGGAAATGGCAGGTGGGAAGAGGTTATCCTTGTAAGATAGCTCCCTGTGAGCTATGAGGAAGAGAATCTTGTCTGTGAGTCACGGATGCTCATTAGATGGCAGGCCATCTGAACTGCCTCGGGCTATGCAGTAGAAATGATACTTCCTTCACCAGGGTTCAAACTGTCACCAATGACTCACTGTTTTAAGTATGAAAAGGCCTTTGGTGCCACCTTGAAGGCACTCTCACTGACCCAGTACGGGACAACTTAAACACCAGAGCAAATAATGACAGCAATGGATTTCAACACATCAAGTAAAATAAGAATAATCACTCCATACCAAGACTAAGTAGAGAAATAGGAGACGGTGAGGAAGAAACTCTCCACAACAGTCGCAGGTGATTAGTTAAATGGGAAAGGAGTAAGGGAGTCTCTATATCCATCATAATAAAACTTGGTCTGGGAAATCTCAATGCATCCTAAAAACGACCGAGTAAAAGTTTGACTAGGAATGTGATATTTGTATATTTCAAAACATTTTTCTTCCAATTATTTATCAATTTCAAAATGGAAAAGTACTAAGTTACAATGAAAGAACTGTTAACCTGGGAATCGGAATTGGTTTTAGGGCTGTGAAAATGGCTCAGTGCTTGCTCGACCAGCATGAGGACCTGAGTTCAACCCCCAGAAGGTATTCCAAGCATAGTAGCATGTTTTCACCTCAGCACTGTGGAAGCAGAGACAAGTGGAACAATAGGGCTTCCTGACCAGTCAGGTCAGTGAGTGGTCGTGTCTCAAAATCAAAGTGATAGATAGTGCCTGAGGCATGATCTCTAAGGTCATCTTCTGGTCTCCACAAACAGGAGCATATATTTGTAACTGCACACACATGAATGCACACATGTGTGTGTATGCACACATATGGTAAATGCAGCCACACTTTGAAAAGACACCTCATTTGTTGTTTCTGTCAAAGGCATAATGGGGCCATAGCTGTAAGGAAACATGAGACAAACAAAGGCTGAAGCATTCTGCACATAATGACCGGCCTGTCATCTTTAGCACTGACAGACTCTTCTAATACAGTAACAGGCTGAGGAAATGTTTCAGATTTAAGAAACTCAAAGAGGTGCAGTATCTAAGTGTAATGATTAGCTATGAATAGAAATTCCTTTATGGGATGTTATTGGCAGTGTTTGAATATGGAATTCACATTAGGCAATAGATAATAGTATTGTATAATACATGATTTAATTTTATATCTGTATTGTGATTATATAAATATGTCCCTAGTTTTAGGATATATATATATATATATATAGTCTGCAGTCATCATCCAGACACAGAGGAGCAAGATGAGAATGCCTCACATAAAAGGTACCAAGCCACATGGCTAACACAGACAAGACTTATGGGTTAATGTAAGTTATAATAGTTAATAAAGCCGGATCTAATAAGACAACCAGCTTATAATTAATGTAGACCTCTGTGTATTTCTTTGGGGCTGAATGGCTGCAGGATTGGGCAGGACAGAAACGTCTGTCAACACACTTCTTCATTCCTTCCCTTGCTCTTTTTATCCATCCATCCATTCCTGTCGCCACCCATCCATCCACCTACTTACCTGTTTCCTAATGTGTCTGCCTAGATAGAAGTCAAGTGTGACAAGATGATAAACCTCAGTGAGAGCAGCACGGAATGAGGAGCTCTTTGCATCATCATTGCAATTGCTCAGTAAGCCTGATTCTTTTCAAAAATAAAAGTTTAAAGGTAAAAAAGCACTGGGACTATAGTTTCTATTGAATGGCTTCTGGGTCAAGACAGGAATAGAGAAAGAAATTAAAGACAAATTAATGAAACTGATTGTACAGCACACCCAAACTTATGAGACACGATAAAAGCATTTCTGAGAGGAACGGTCATAGGACTAAGTGTCTACATTAAAAAAAAATTGACAGATCTAGTACTAGCAACTTATAAGAAAACATGAAATCTCTAGAACAAAAAGAAACAAGTATACCCAAGAGGAGTAGACAGCAGGAAATAATCAAACTGAGGGCTGAAATCATAAAATAGAAACAAAGAGATGAATACAGAGAATCAATAAAACAAAGAGTTGGTTCTTTGAGAAAAATCAACAAGACACACAAACCCTTATCCAAACTAACTAAAACACAGGGAGAGAGAATAACCAAATTAATGAAATCAGAAACAAAAAGAGGAACATAACACCTAGGAAATACAAAGAATCATTAGGTCATACTTTTAAAACCTGTATTCCATTGTGTAAATGAACCACATTTTCTTTATCCATTCTTTGGTTGAGAAGCATCTAGGTTGTTTCCAGGTCCTGGCTATTAGAAATAATGCTGTTATGAACATAGTTGAGCAAATATCTTTGTGGTATGATTGAGCATCCTTAGGATATATGCTTAAGAGTGATATCATTGGGTCTTGAAGAAGATCGAGTCCCAATTTTCTATGATGTTGCCATACTGATTTCCAAAGTGGCTGTTCAAGTTTGCACTTCCACCAGCAGTAGAGGAGTGTTACCCTTATGCCACATCCTCTCCAACATAAGCGACCCTCAGTATTTTTTATCTTAGCCATTCTGACAATGGAGTACTAATCAGCTGTAAAAAAAATGGCATTATGAAAATTTCAGGCAAATGGATGGAACTAGAAAAAATTCATCCTACGTGATGTAACCCAGATTCAGAAAGATAAACACAGTATGTACTCATTCATAAGTGGATGCTAGATGTAAAGGAAAGAATAACCAGACTACGATCCATAACTTCAGAGAAGCGAGGTAACAAAGAGAACCCTAAGAGGGATGCATGGATTGCTCTGGGAAGAGGAATTAGACAAGATCTCCTGGGTAAACTGGGGGCAAGGAGGGCAGTAGTGGGGAGGGGATAAGGGAATGGGGTGGTCAAGCTGGGGGAATGAATGGAGTGGCTGAGCAATGAAAGCGATATCTTGATAGATGGAGCCATTATGGGGTTAGGGAGAAGCCTGGTGCTAGGAAAAGTTCCAGGAATCCACAATAACGACCCTAGCTAAGACTCCAAGCAATAGTGGAGAGGATGGATGAACTGGCCTTCCCCTGTAATCAGATTGGTGAATACCCTAACTGTCATCATAAAGCCTTCATCCAGTAACTGATGAGACCGGATGCAGAACTCCACAGCCAAGCACCAGGCTAAGCTCTGGGAACTCAGTTGAAGAAAGAAAGGATTAAGTCAGCAAGGTAGGGCAAAGGGTGTGTCAAGTTCATGATGGAGAAATCTACAGGAACAGTTTTACCAAGTTCATGGGAACTCATGAACTCTAGATCAACAGCTGTGGAGCCTGTGTGGGACCAAACTAGGCCCTCTGCATGTGGGAGACAGTTGTGTAGTTTTGTTTATCTGAGGTTCCCCTGGCAGTGGGACCAGGATCTATCCTTGGTACATGAACTAACTTTTTGGAGCCCATTCTCTATGGTGGGATACCTTGCTCAGTCTTGATGCAGCAGGGAGGGGCTTGGTCCTGCCTCAACTTAATGTGCCAGACTTTGTTGACTCTATATGGGAAGCCTGACCTTTAGGAGAAGTGATTGGGGAGTGGGTTGGGAGAGAGGCGAGGGGGGCAGGAGGAGGCAAGCGGCGCAGGAGGAGGGGTGGGTGAGAAAACTGTGGTTGGAATGTAGAATGAATAAAAAATAAATAAATGAAGTAAAAAAGAGCATCCCCAGAACCAACAACTAGAAGCAGCTGAGATGAGATTGAAAGCAAAACAAACAAACAAACAAACAAAAAACCCCTGTACTCCACAAAATTGGAAAGTCTAAAAGAATGGATTATTTTCCTAATAGATAACAACAAATTAAATCAAATCAGATAAACAATTTAAATGACTATAGCCCTTATGGAAATAGAAACAGTCATTAAAAGTTCCCCCCTCCCACTGTAACAAAAAAGTCCAGGGCCAAACAGAAAGTTTTAGCACAGAATTCTACCAGAATTTCAAAGAAGAGTTAGTGCCAATACTCCCTCAAATTATTCTACAAAATAGAAACAGAACAAACATTGCTGAATTCATTTTATGAGGCCACAGTCACCCTAACACCCAACCACACAAAGATACAACAAAGATAATTATAGACAAGTTTCCCTTATGAACATAGATAAAAAATACTCAACAAAATATTTGCAAACCGAATCCAAGAACACATCAAAAAAAAAAAGAAAAAAAAAAGAAAAAAAAAGAAAAAAAAAGATCATCCACCACGATCCAGTAAGCTTTGTCCCAGAGATACAGAAATAGTTCAATATATGAAAAACAGTCAATATAAATGAACTGAAAGAAAAAAAACACATAATCATTTCATTAAATGCCTAAAAAAAAACTTTGATAAAATCCAACACTCCATTCATGATAAATGTCTTGGAGAAATTGAGGATACAAGGGAAAACCTAAACATAATACAGTAAATGTATAGCCAACATCAAATTAAATGGAAAGAAACTCAAAGCAATTTTATTAAAGTCAGAAATAAGACAAGATTGTCTACTTTCTATATATCTGTTTAATATAGTACTTAAAATTCTAGCTAGAGAAATAAAGACAACTGAAGGAAATAAAGGACATAGAAATTGTAAAGGAAAAAGCCAAAGAATCATATTTGCAGATGATATAATAATATAAGTGAGCAAGCCCAAAAATTCTACCAGGGAACTCCTACAGTTGATGAGAATCTTTATCAATATGACTAGATATAAGATTAACTAAAAAATCGATAACTCTCTTATATAAAAATGACAAACAGACTGAGATGGGAATCAGGGAAGCATCACCCTTCACAATAGCCGCAAAAATTTAAAATATCTTGGGGTAACCCTAACCAAGCAAGTGAAAGATTTTTATGACAAAAAGTTCAAGTCTTCGAAGAAAGAAAGTAAAGAAGGTATCAGAAGATGAAAAAATCTCCTATGCTCATGGATCGGTAGGATTAACAGTAAAAATGGTCATCTTACAAAAAGCAATCTACAGGTTCCAGTAATCCCCACCAGAATTCCAACACAATTCTTTGCAGGCCTTGAAAGGACAATACTCAGTTTCATATGGAAAAATGAAAAAACCCAAGATAGTGATGCTTTGGTATTTTAAAAAGATTTCCATCCATGTGTTCTTAACACTTCACTTGTTTTAAAGTCCATGCAGATGTTCTAAGAGATGACAGACTTGAAAGAGTTTTAATGAATTGCTGTGAAAAGCTGATTGTTGCTTGAATACTTGGTACAGAATCTCTTATTCTTTCACCTTTTTATTTTCTTTTTTGTATATAATTTAACATTTTATGTTCATTGGTGTTTGATTTGCATGTATCTGTGTGAGGGTGTTGGATCCCCTGGCACTGGAGTTACAGACAGGTGTGAGCTGCCATGTAGGTGCTGGGAATTGAACCTGGGTCTTCTGGAAGAGCAGCCAGAGTTCTCACCTGCTTAGCCATCTCTCCAGACCTACTTTGTTTAAGTTTCATTCTTTGACATTTTCATTCCAGTATGGATTTTAGCCTTTTTCATTTCCTGTCCCCCAGTTTCATCCCCTCCTCAGATCCAGAACTTCCTTCTGACTGGTCCCCTCCCTTTGTTCATGCCTTTGTCTGTGGGAGTGAGCTACTGGGTGTAAGCAGGCCTGACTCATGAGCACGGATAGGAGGCTATTTCTTGTAATATGGGCAACTCATCAGCAGTTAGCTCTCTGAAGACAGTCGGCATCTCTCAGCCGTCATCAACAAAGCCTCTTTTTGCAGGGACGTGGGCAGTGAATGCAGACTCACAACCATTAAAGCAGAGGAGAAGGGACTGGTGAGAACTCAGTCCTCAACTGGACATTTTATCACACATCATGTGTGTATGCATACACACACATGAACATGTATGCACATGTACACCTACACGCTTACACCCTCTGCTCAGGAAAGACCAGTAAAAAGAGTGGAAAGAGTGCAAAAGCCAGCATCTTTTGACGCGGCAGCTTGATGTGCTCATGACCTCCCTGCAGCTGACTGATTGCTACTACTTTCTTCCAATTTTAGACTCACCGTGTTGGGAATTTTCTGAAGTCATGAGAACAGGGTTCTCATGAACAGAAAGTTCGGTGTAGCTGGACTTTGACTATAATTTCCATTAACTGAAGACACTCGTTATAAAGCAACAGACACGGAAAAATTGCATTTCTATTCCAATTAAAGGTGTTTTATTTAGAAGTAGCAGCAATAAGGCACAGTTAAGGGGAAAACAAGATGACACTAGTGAGACTTTAAGCTGTAAAGACATAATCTGACTCTACAGGAATTGGTGGGATTTCCATTTTGGATAGAGAAGACATGCACTCTGATTGATTTCTTTTTAAAATATAATATTCTGTATTATGTGAGAATATTGTACACACAATGTATTTTGATCACATTAATACCTGCATTCCTCCCCCTAGCTCTTTCAGTATTCACTCCCACCTCCCTCTATATTAATTTGTTAATCTGCATTTTTTTATTTTGGCCTGAGGTAGAAGTCAAAAGAAGCAGCTATCCTGAGTCTAGAACAGAGAGGAATGGCCTCTCTCAAGATGGCTTTTCATAACAAAGGAGATGGTGAAAATGGGCGTGTTCAGGAAAGGAAGGTCTCAGCAGCAGCAAGGGGTGGCACAGCACATGGGGCGGGGACAGGTGGAGATGACACAGGTGGGGCGGTAGCAAGTGCTCTGGCAGCAGACCTGACCACAGACTGGACGCAGGCAGCAGCAGGGGCGGCAGCAGGGGCGGCAGCAGGGCTGGCAGCAAGG